GGACGTAGGCTTTATTATTACCAACTCAGTGCCCTAGTTCCTTCTTTCTGAGGGTTAGTCTTCCCTTCTCAGAGGAGGGCTCTACAGTTGCTGCCGGGACACAGGGAACTTGGATACACAGGACTGGGGAAGCAATATTTATATTTTTTCTGGCTATGTAGGCCTTTCCTCCACTTTCTACAAGTGTCGTCTCTCAGGGTTTTGTCCCCAATCCATTTTTCACTCTTTACTCAAGTTCATGTCTTCAGTTATCACTTTAAGCCCTGAATCTTCCCACCCTAGTTCTGTATATTTAGCTCCCTCTGGTCTCTCCACCATCATGTCCCATTCATGTCCACTCATCCAAAACTATGCTCAACAAATCCAGCAGCAGAGCAACAAAGAAGCAGTTTAGGTTCTAAGGCTGCACAGACCTGGATTTGAAGATTAGCTGCACTATTTTCAAAAAGAAACTATATCTAAAGTACTTTGCACAGTGCCTGACCCATTCCCTTCTTTATATATTCTATTTCACCAGGGACCCTAGACCTGTATAACAAGTGTTAAAGAAAACTAAATATATTCTTAGTATTCTATCATGGGGACTTTAAAAGTCATCTATGGCTGGGCACAGTGGCGTATGCCTGTAATTCTACTGACTGGGAAAGTTGAGTCAGGAGGATTACAAGTCCAAGGCCAGCTCCAGCAACTTAGTGAGGCACTAGGCAACTTAATAAAAAGCTGTCTTAAAATAAAAAATTGCCAGGCGCAGCGATGCACTCCTATAATCCCTGTGGCTCAGGAGGCTGAGACAAGAAGATCTTGAGTTCAAAGCCAGCCTCAACAAAAAGCAAGGCACTAGAGCTAGGTAGTGGCTCAGTAATACAGCATTTGCTTAGCAAGCATGAGGCACTGGGTTCAATTCCAAGCACCACATAAACAAACTAAATAAACAAAATGAAGGTATTGTGTCCATGTACAACTTAAAAAAAAAAAAAAATGAGTCACTAGGCAAGTCAGTGAGACCCTCTCTCTAAATAAAATACAAAATAGGGCTGGGGATGTGGCTCAATAGTAGAGTGCCCAGGTTCAATCCCTGGTCTCCACAAAAAATAAAATTAAAAATTAAAAAATTAAAAATAAAAAGGTTTGGGGTATAACTCAGTGGTAAAGAGCCTCTGTGTTCAATCCTTAGTACTCCCCTTCAAAAACAAAAAAGTCATCTAATGCCGAGTATGGTGTTGCACACCTGTTACCCTATGGACGCAGGCGGCTGAGGCAAGAGTATCTCAAGTTTGAGGCCAGCAGGGCAACTTAAGGAGACCCTGTCTCAAAATAAAAAAATAACTAAAGGGCTAGGAATGTAGCTCAGTGGTAGAGCACTTGTCTTTAATGTGAAAAGCCCTGGGTTGATCCCATGGGGCGGGGGAGGGAGGGGGTGCTGGGGATATAGCTCAGTGGTAGAGGACTTCTCTAATATATGTGAAGCCCTGGGTTTGATTCTTAACACTACCAAAATAAATAAAATAAACTGGGTAAAAGGGTATGTAGATTCCTGCATATTATTTTTTAATCCCCAGTCCAAAAAGGACTGCAGATTTTATTTTTATTAAAAATTTAAAAATTGAGGGGTTGGGGCTGTGGCTCTGTGTTACAGCACTTGCCTAGCATGTGTGAGGCACCTCAGCACTACATAAATAAATAAAATAAAGGTATTGTGGGGCTGGGATTGTGGCTCAGCAGTAGAGCGCTTACCTAGCATGGGCGGGACCCGGGTTCGATTCTCAGCACCACATAAAAATAAAGGCATTGTGCTGTGTCCATCTACAAAAAAATCCCCCCCTCTTCTTTCTCCTCAAAAAAAAAAAAAAAATTACTTAAAAAAAAAGGTATTGTATACATCTACAACTAAAAAATGTATTTAAAAATTTTTTAAAAATTGAGACAGGGTTTTGGTAAGTTGCTGATGATCTTGTTAAATTTCTGAGTCTAGCCTTGAACTTTTGATCCTCCTGTCTCAGCCCCCCAAACCTCTGGGCACTGGATTATAGGCCTGCACCACCATGCCTGGCTCTCTGTATTATTTATTTATTAATTTATTCTTGGCGATGCTGAGGATTAAACCCAGGGCCTTAGTGCATGCAAGGCAAGCACTCTACCAACTGAGCTATAGCCCCAGCCTTCTCTGTATTATTTCTTACAACTGCTTATAAATTTACAATTACCTCAAAGTCTGCTTAAAAATAAAAAATAAAAAAAGTTGTGATAGGAGTAAAGCTGAATGTTAGAGTACTTGCCTAGCAAGTGAGAGGCCCTGGGTTCATTCTCCAAATCTGCAAACAAGCAAAAAAGCTATGGACAGAAAGTATTTGCAGTTCTTTTGAGGTATTTCTAAGTATTATCAGGTTATGGCTTTGATAGGTAGTTGAGGAGGGAAGCACATCTTTTCTACTTCTAAAGAAGCCAGCTTGGGGCTGGGGATGTGGCTCAAGGGGTAACGTGCTCGCCTGGCATGTGCGGGGCGCTGGGTTCGATCCTCAGCACCACATAAAATAAAATAAAGATGTTGTGTCCTCCCAAAACTGAAAAATAAATATTAAAAAATTCTCTCTCTCTCTTAAAAAAAAAAAAATCTATAAATATAAAGAAGCCAGCTTGGAAAACTACCTTAAATATGTAAGGTTAGCCTAGATTTGTTCTGCTTGGTTGGGTTAAAAGAATCCTGTTAATACTTGTAAATATAAAAAGAGATAATAGGGCTAGGGATATAGCTCAGTTGGTAGAGTGCTTGGTTCATATGAACAAGGCCCTGGGTTCTAATCCCCAGCACCACACACACACACACACACACAAAGACAGATAATAAGTGTTCTAAAGTATAATATTAAAAAAATAGTGTACAGAAATCTACATACCCTTTTACCCAGGTTGGGTTTTTTTTTTTATTTTTATTAGACTGCAATATACCATATGCATTTTATTTCTTTTCTTTTTTGCAGTGCTGGGGATCAAACTCAGGGCCTCAAGCAAGCAGGCAAGGCCTTTGCACTGAGCTGTATCTCCAGTCCCAAAGATTTATTATTATTATTTTTTAAGATGGGAGTCTTACTATGTTGCCCAGGGCAGTCTACAACTGATGAACTCAAGTTGATCCTCCCACCCCAGCCTTCCAAGTAGCTGTGCACTGCTTCATATACGTATTAAGGTCTATAAAAAGAAAAATTTTAAAAATATATACTTTTGACTGAGAATGTAGCTCAGTGGTAGAGTTGTTATCTAGAATGTACAAGGCCCTGAGTCAATTCCCAGTACCCCACCCAAATTATATAAATATGTATGTGTTTGTGTATACTTCCTAAATCTTTCTCTAGTCCATCCACATCTATCTCCATTCCCATTGACCTAACCCTGATCACCATCATCCCTTACCTAATCCAGGTATTTCTCTGCTTCCAGCGTGGCCCCTTAACCACAATCCATTCACCAAATCCAACCAAGTGACTCCTAGACTCAAACTCTTCAGCAGTTCTCCCCTTCCCCCAGGGATAAAGTTCAGACTTCTTCAAAAGACCTGAGTCCTACCAGGAATGGTGGCACATGCCCTAATCCCAGCAACTCTGGAGGCTCAGGCAGGAGGATCTCAAGTCTGAGGCCAGCCTCAACAACTAAGCAAGATCCTAAGCAACTTAGTAACTCAAAAAATTAAGGGCTGGGGGTGTGGCTCAGTGGTAAAGTACCTCTGAGTTAAATATCCAGTAATCCCCCAAAAAGGAAAGAAAGAACCTGGCTCCCACCTTCCTAATTTCTCTACCTCTTCATTTCAGCCTCTGTAAAATCAGCATCATTTACCTGACTCCAGGTCTCTGCACATTTTCCCCTCCCAAACCTCACCCTGGCTAACTATTGCTCATCCTTTAGCTAGCACTTTAATTTCTGGCTCTTCCCAGAAATTCACTAATCACTTGAACATATCATTGCTTTTGTGTGTGTGCACATAGCAGCATCTTTTAGATTTTAGATTACATAAAGGTTTCCCCCACAACCCTGAGTCCGCCCTTAGTACACAAATAGCGGCTGATGGGAGACAACTGGAGTTTGGTCAGGGGTGGGGCATTTAAAGAAGTCACTATCTCCCTCACCTTCTTTTCTTCTTGAGAAACCTATAAAGAATCATCTTTGGAGAATATTAAAGCATTTTACTTATTTATTTTTTTATTTTTGATACTGGGGATGGAAACCAAGGCCTCACGCATGCACCTTACCACTATCATGGAGAAAAAAAAAAAAACAGGCCTGATGGCCTGATAAGAATTGACTTTTCTGGGCTGGGGATGTGGCTCAAGCGGTAGCGCGCTCGCCTGGCATGCGTGCGGCCCGGGTTCGATCCTCAGCACCACATACAAAAAAACGAAGATGTTGTATCCGCCGATAACTAAAAAATAAATATTAAAAAAAGAAATTAAAAAAAGAATTGACTCCTCTGCAGAGGTCCTGCAACCTTGAGTATGGGTAGTCTGAACGCGAAAGTTAATTAATAATAGGCCCGTCCTGTGATGTGATGGGTCAGATCCGATTCTGACTTTAACAGGGTTCCGGAGAAACAGAACAAGTTCCAGCTACCCGAGACACAAGGCGAGGGCCTAAGTAAGGGAGTTCCCCGTTCCCCTTCCCACCACTTCAAAGGAAGCATCCCTGCATCTCCGCAGGAATGCAAGAGCACCTGAAAAAAACTTATAGGTGAATAACAAAAAGAAGATGGCAACTAAATTTTTCATGTGCTGGACGCTTTCAAAATTTTTTCTCAATTCTCTCGATATGCTGATATGCCTACTCATTTTGCCGCCGAGGAAACAGAAGTTCAGAGAAACCGGGGTTATTCTAGATCTCAGAGAATAAGAGGAACTCAAATCCGAAACTAAACCTCATGGTTCCCCACTCAATCCCGGGGCGGGCCCGAGGTCCTGAAGGATGGAGACTACCTCCTCTGGAAGAAGGATGGGACAAGAGCAGGAGAAACTCACCTTGGCGCAAGCACACAGTGTGAACACAGCAGCGTAGCCTGAGCTCGGTGCTGCACCCCTCTAGGGACCCAAAGGCCTCGGCTTAAGTCTGGCAGTGAAAAGGAAGCTCCGCCCAGAGGGAGGGGCAGAGGCCCGGCAGCACAGATCACGCGCAAAGTGGATCCGCCCTCCACTTCCCGGGGAAGTTGCTGAGGGGGATGGAGGCCAGAGCTGGGAGGCTGCACGTGTCGTGTACTGGGTGCTGGAAGTCGGACTGGCAGGAACTCGGACTCTCCCTCCACCGCGAGGGTTTGGGAAGCAACAAGCTCAGTGTTGCCTGCGCTCCGGTCACGTGGGTGGTCCTGGAGGCCGGCCGTGCCTCTGGCTGGCCCACAGTGCACCGCGGGCCTCTTCTCTAGGCGGCCAGGCCCTGGCCCCCCTGGGTTCGCTCGGCAGGATTGGCCTGGCAGTATTCCCAGAGTTCAGCAAATTTGACCCTGTTATTAGTTCAGGCAAACTGAGGCCCGGAGCATCTACACCACAAAGGTTGACCAGAATGCCACACCGCATACTCTCTCCTGATCTCTCCTCTCTCTCTCTTTTTTTTAATAGTTGTAGGTGGATAATCATGCCTTTATTTTATTTATCTTTATATGGTGTTGAAGATAGAACACAGTGCTTCATATGTGCTAGGCAAGCTGTCTGCCACTGAGCTACAGCCCCAGTCCCAGTTCCTTAACTCTTTAAGCGTTAACCCTGGCATTTTATCTGCCAGGCACTGTGCTAAAGACAGTAAGTATGATTCTGCTGAATCCTCACAACAACTTGATACAGGAATTTTTTTTTTTTTTTTTAAAGACTGTTACCCAAATCGGCTTCACATCTAAGTTGGCTTCACACTTCTGGCTCAGTGATCCTTCTGCCCCAGCCACCCGCGTTAACTGGAACTACCGGCATATGCCACAGCACCTAGCTTATTTTTACTTTGTATAAGCCTTTTTATATTACAGTATAGCATATATACAAAAAAATTGCATAAATCTGAAATGCATATAGCTCTGATAGTTTGCAATGTTACCACAGTCCAGATGAAGTTACAGATGTCACCTACCAGTAGCCTATAAGGGAAAGTGTGCATGATTCATTTCACAAATTAGACTAAACAAGGTTAAAATTGTTTCTAACTTGCCCACATTCACACAGGTATTAAATTACAGATTAGAGGCTTTGTTCCTTTGGACTGAGAGGTGTCTTGTATTTAGGTTTTATTCTGTGGCAAGGGTGGGCAATAGGAAGTGTTGTCCAAGTGAAGCGTTTTTTTTGTTTTTCCTTGTTTCCCCCTCCCCCACTCCTATTCCCCGGGTGCCTCTCCATTTCTCCAGACCAGTTATTCCCTAACAGTACCAGATATTCAACTTATCACAACTATCCTAATACATAGATTCCTACTTGTGGTAACAGAATTCAGGATCCCCTAAATACATCTTACCCCAGAAAACTTTCCCTCAAGAGACATATACCATGTACACTGTTTTCTGCAAATGATGGTGGATTTTTTCCCCTTGCTAGTTTTTTTAAACTTCCCACTCACCCTAGTCTAACTTATTAAAAGTCTAAGGTGCAATACATAGTGACCTTGCTGTCTGATGAGTTGCTGAGTCATTGCTGTAACCTAGCCTCCTCCTTCCTCAACTCTGGGACTTCTGCTCTTGATTCTAGGTACAAGAATTGTTACAGGCAAAGTGCAACCTATTCCTTCTCCAACAGTTGGGTTTGTTTGTTTGTTTTTTGTTTTTAGATTGTTTCATTTTCTTTTGTTTGTTTTTTGGACAAATTGAAGGTGTATTGTTTTTTAAAACTCATCTGCTTGCGAACACATCACTTCTTTCATAGGCATCCTCCCATTTTACAAGATCCACCCCTCAGCCAGTGACCTGTGTTGCTCCAGTGTAAAAATCTTGAGGCTACTAAAAAAGTCATATGGGGTGCTACACACCTGTGATGTCAGCTAATCAAGAGACTGTATCAGAAGGATTGCAAGTTCAAGGCCAGCCTTGGGAGTTTAGAAAGACTCTAAGCAATTTGGCAAGACCCTGACTCAAAATAAAAATTAAAAGGCTGGAGTGGTAGCTTAATGGTAGAGCACCCTGGATTCAATTACAGGATTGCAGACATGTACCACCATGCCCAGCTTACTATTTATTTTGAAACAGGGTTTTGCTAAATTTCCATGGACAGTGACACTTGCCTATAATCTCAGCTACTCAGGAGGCTGACACAGGAGGATTTCAAGATGGAGGCCAGCCTGGGTAACTTAATGAGACCCTGTCTCAAAACAAATTTTGTTCGTTTGTTCATTTATTGGTACCAGGGATTGAACCCAGGGGCATTTAACCACTGAGCCACATCTCTAGCCCTTTTTTATTTTTTAATTAGAGACAGGGTCTCCCTAAATTGCTAGGGCCTTTCTAAATTGCTGAGGCTGGCTTTGAACTTGCAGTCCTCCTCTATGTACCCTCCCTTCCCTTTGGTACTGCAAGTTCTCCTTTAGCCTTCCAAAAACTCACATTTTCTTTGGTTAGACATAGTCAATTTTTTGTTGCTTGAAACAAAAGAACGTTAAGAAACACAAAGGAACTGCATTCATGTAATCCCAGTAACTTGGAGCACCAGGCAGGATCACAAATCCAAGGCCAGTATCAACAATTTATCAAGACCCTTAGCAACTTAGTGAGAATCTGTCTCAAAATGAAAAGTAAAAAAAGACTGGGAATATGATACAGTGGTAAACCACCCCAATACCACAAAACATACCTACCCCCACACACAAAGGAATGAAAATAGTATCAGATGCTTCAGAAAAAAGAGTAAGTGTAGTGGCACCCCCTCCTCCACAGAAAATCTTAACTAAGCTTCTCCAGAAGTCTTCACCATAATTGATTTTAGGACTATCAATTAAAAAGTCTCTACAAAAGAGTTCAATATAGGTAAACTTCCTATTTTCCTGTTGCTCTATTACTTGGCCACTGGCCTGGAAGAAATCAGCACTCCAGGAGCTGGACACCCTCTTTACTTGTTTTTCACAAACATATTTCCAGTATAGTAGTTTGTAAAAGTGTGTTTGCAAATGCAAAATGTGATTTAAAAAAAAGATCCTTTAACAACACCTCTGGCCTTGAGCTGGGGCTTCATAGAGATGTCTACATTTCTAAGATAAGAGAAGTTACCAATTGGGCTCCCTGGTAACAGCTGGCAGGGGAAGAAAAAAAGGGGAGAAGAAGCTCTCCCCTTCTCAGTTGTTGTCTTTAAAGGGTTAACTTGCCCAAAACAGTGAAAGAAAAAGCTGCATTTATGTGAACTTCTGCAGACTGTGAACTTCTGAGCCTCTCCCCTTACATGCTGGGTATAAAGTTCTGAAACTACCTGAACTTTATATAGCTGGGGTTCAGGGAATTAATTGGTTACCTCAAAAGCTGTACCCTCTGAACCTGGCTGCTGCCAAATAAAACTGTTTCCTGCTATCTTTGGTGCCTTGCCTGATCTGTGCCCTACAATATAAGAAGAAGTAAATCATAAACAATTATTAAAAAGGAGCCTGACACACGTGGGGTAGAGCTGTGGCTCAGTGGTCGTGCATTTACCTGTCACGTGTGAGGTTCAATTCTCTGCACCACATATAATAAAATAAAATAAAGAGGTCTATCAACAGCTTATATATATATATATATATATATATATATATATATATATATATATATATATAATTTTTTTTTTAAAGGAGCCTGGTGCAGTGGTACATACCTATAATTCCAGTGACTCAGGAGGTTAAGGCAGTAAAATCACAAGTTCAAATCCAGCCTCAGCAACTTAGCAAGGCCCTAAATAACTCAGCAAGACTCTGTCTCAAAAAAAAAAAAAAATACAAAAAGGGCTGGGGACGTGGGCTCAGTGGTTAAGCATCCCCTAGGTTCAGGTTCAATCCCCAGTACCAAAAAGAAAAGAAAGAAAGAAATTGAATGAAAACATATCAAACTAAAACAGTTGCAATTGATTAGTGGAAATATAGGTATTTATGAAGTTTTAAAAATTCTGTTATCTCCAAATTCACATTCAGTCCTCAGGCACTGGCCAATGGAGAGCCATCACCATTACTGTCCCTTCTAATTCAGTATACCATTTCAGCCTTCCCAAGTGTAGACAAGACATTTGTACCTTAAAGATATGACACAGACCTTCAATAGATGAATGAATAAAAAAATGTGGCATATATACACAATGGAATATTACTCAGCAATAAAAGAGAATAAAATCATGGCATTTGCAGGTAAATGGATGGAGTTAGAGAAGATAATGCTAAGTGAAGTTAGCCAATACGCAAAAACCAAATGCTGAATGTTTTCTCTGATATAAGGAAGCTGATTCATAGTGGGGTAGGGAGGAGGAGCATGGGAGGAATAGATGAACTCTAGATAGGGCAGAGGGGTGGGAGGGGAAGGGAAGAAATATGGGGTTAGAAATTATGGTGAAATGTGATGGACATTATTATCCAAAGTACATGTATAAAGACACGAATTGGTGTGAATATACTTTGATTACAACCAGAGATATGAAAAATGTGTGCTCTATATATGTAATAAGAATTTAATGCATTCTGCTGTCATATATAAATAAAAAAATTTAAAAAAATACATGGCACAGAGAATCTTATTTTTTTCCATCACTTTCAGAGTAAGCTGAAGCACTTGCTATGGAAATTGGGATCAGTCTCAGACTGCCCTGAGGTGCTAGGTAAGCAACCTGAAAGTACGGGGGAGTTAATGTTTAGTTGGGTATGAGGAAATTGACCAGTGAAGGAAAGAGCCAAGAGATAGTCTGCTCTTCTTTCCTTAATGAATAATTTCTAGACATCATGCAGTGATTTTGGCCTCTCAATCCTATATAACAGAGTAATTAGCTGTGTCTTCTAAAGTTATAGCCAGCTCTGTAGAACACCACTTTTATTTTCTTTTCCTTATTTCCTGGCTCATTCCTGTTTTTTCTTTACTTTTCGTTGTTCTGAAATTAAACCTTATCATGTAAACTTTGCCCTGAGCTCTGGTTTTCTAAGGAAATAGACTAAAACTCTATACTTCTATAATGAGTGGGGGAAGGAGGGGGAGGGGGAGGAGGGGGAGAA